CAATTAGCAATTCCACTGTTTTAGGAACAATATTAATTAAAATATTTCCTATAAATCACAGCTAGTTCCTAATAACACTATTGAAAACTGCTTTTTTTTTTATAATAGCACACACTTGTTTATGACCCAATTGTTAAGAATGTTGACACAGTAACTTGTGATATTCCAAGCATTTTAATATCACTGAAAAAATGTCCCAACTAGCCCACTCTCTTGTTCCAGAAATTTCACAAAACATCAACTTTAAATGTCCATTTGTCTCACCAACAACAAAAACATAGAATTATTATGCGATTGCAAAGTTTATGTGAATATTTTTATTTGTCTCATCAACAACAAAAACACAGAATTAGTGTGCGATTGTAAAGTTTATGTGAATATTTTTATTTGTCTCACCAACAACAAAATAAACACAGAATTAGTATGCGATTGTAAAGTTTTTGTGAATATTTTTAATGAACTTTAACCAACTTCTAATTTTGAAAATAAGACTTGCTTGTGCTACAATTGCTGGACTGTCGATATGGAAAACATGAGTGTAGAAATATTAAGGAGAACAAGAGATAAGGGCCTATTGTCTCACTAAAATAGTAAGGTGACTGTAAACAATTACTTAAACTATACTAAAGACCACGTTTTCATGAACAATTTATTTAGAATTGGAGCTGGTCTATTTCAGGATGAGGAAGAGTTTGAACACCTAACTAGGCCACCAAATTTAAAAGCTGTCCAACCTCAATGGTCAGTTCCTGAAACCAGCCTTCCACAACCAGCATTAGTTCAACAATTAGAAAAAGCCTTTATCAACAAATGGTTAAAAATATCACTGTCCAAATCACATTCCCTCATGCCAATGCTGTGTTGTCTGCTTGTGGTGGACCAACTACTTAATTAATAACTAAAATGTAGAAATAAACAGGTATTTCCATTACTTTGTATGTTAGTCTCTCCAATGAAAGATTCTGTGCAGTAATTCATTACTTCTTCAGAAAAATAAAGTATTAGTAAAAGGGTAACGTACAACTGAGACAGGTTTTATATGATTCAATAACAAGTTTTACAAAAAAGGAAATTCAGCATTATAAAGTTATTCCTTTCTGTCTCTCTTTTTACTATCGTGAAAAAAAAAAAGAACAAATATTTAAGTTGATTCTTCTATCCATACAGTCTATGAATATTAACACTGTAATTTAGTATAAACTGTAAAATAATGGAAGTTTTAAAATGGAAACACCATAATTAAGGTAGTCTTAGTACAATAGAATTTAACAAAAATTTTATTATCACTTTCAGAGGTTAATATAATGATGTTTACCAAACCACCTAAAATAACCACATTTTAATAAAATACGGTAATTTACAAATACATCAATGTGTGTTTCAAACTACACCAATCATAATTCACAACAAACTCTAGACAAAAAAAAAAACAATTTAACAGAATATAATAATATTTTGTCGTGAGATTAATATAAAAAAAAATTAGTATGAAAATGAGATGTTAAAAACTTATTTAAAATAATATAACAACATAGTACATATAGCAGACACAATAAACTTTAATAAACTGGTAACTCTGTAACGTACTTTTACTTATACAGAGATTTTTGGATTTCATACGTTATCTCAGAACTGCTTAATATAGTAAACTGATAATGGAATCATAACACATTTGAATAAACTAAAATCTCTCAATAGAATGATAAAATTCTTCTAATCAAAAATTAAAGTGTTAGATTGAATACTATATTTCAACTTATCATGCAGCTTTTTTTTACTCTTTTGTCGTGGGAATATTTCTTCATGCAGTAAAAAACATATCTGTACACACAGGGATGGCTAGTACAAGGTCAATCTTATCACATAACAAAAAAACTTCAAAAAACAATTTTCACATAAAAAAACATACATTTCTGCATATCTATAGCATAAAAATGTTCTTTTAATGAATATTCGAATTAACTACAAGATGCTAATAAATAAAAATGCATAAATCAAACTCGAGATTTTGAACCAATTAAATATCATCAGCTCGTTAATTAATTACCAATGAATTCAACAGCACACACCAACATAAAAATTCTAACAGAATTGGAGACCATTGTATTTTGCATTCTTGTAATTATATGTAAATACAATCCTGTATTATATACAGTGCGTCTGCTCACATGTGCTTGCAAAAAAACCTAAAATTAATTTTTTCTACATTATGGAAATTAATATTGAAGGAGTATTTTTAAAGGAACCTCATTTTTATAAAATATTTTTAAAAAATACCTGTAACCATAACAAGTTATTGTAATAAGTGTCAAACACTTCACCATTATATAAACTTCCTTTTTACGGTGGAAATATTAATGGCAAAAATCTAGATGATGTTTACAAAAACTTCATTTCATTACCTAAAGAAACAAAAACGAAGATATTTTTTACCAAATGTAGTGTTAACACTCAAGATTTTTGAGTCACATGGACGTAATCACTTGAAGAAAAAAAGAGTGGGGGGTCCTATGTATTTTTACATTAAACATCAGAATTTTTAATTTTCTGATTTATTATTATCTGTAGTAACATTTAAAATGTTTTCTACATTGCATTGGTTTGCCCACGATGTGCCACAAAAAAGATAAAGTTGCATCGAAGTTAAATCGCAAAGTTCCATTAAATGGGACAGAACATTTACGTCCGTAACATCACAAAAAACAGTATGATTTTCTTTTAAAGATAATTAAGACAGAGTATTCATCATGAACAAACATAGATGAATTGTATTTTCGATATGAATGTTCTAGTGTGAACTTGAAGGTAAAAAGGTTTAAATTTTATAAAAAATTATATGCTGGTAAAGAGGATTACACGAGCAATATGAAGATAGTTTTAGTCTGCATCTCCAAAGTGTGTAATAAAGCAATTTTCTCCATCCCCAAAGTTAAAATTTGTGTATTTATTGGTAAAAAGTGTTAACGAAAGAATATGCATTTTTATATCATAACTCTGTGTAGGGAAAAAGAATGGAAAACTGTTGATCTGTTGATAAATAACACAATAAAAACATTAAATAAAGCATAATAGAAAAAAAAAACTAAGTTCGATTTTGTATATATTTCTTAAAGCTTATGTAGGCCTAATATTCCAAGTACAAAAATCATAACACTTTGATAAAACAGAATAGGAAAGTGTATCTAATTTTCAGGTCTCCGTTTCACAACATTACTTTTAAGAATGCTGTCCTGCACACCACTGATGTAACTCTTGCCCATCAAAGGCATATTCATAATAAAGTAATATAAATTAACTCTCTTTTCAATACTACAGGGTGATGCAAGATTAGCATATCACCATGATATTTTCCTAAGTCCCCCACCTCCTTACTGCAAGTTTTCAAAATCATGTTCATGTTCCACTCATTTTTTTATTTGTCACAAAATTGGTTTGGAAATCATTAACCTTTCAATAGCATGTGGAAGAAATCTTATTATGATATCAATGCTTCATATTTTGAACGGCTCTAAGAGCACGATATAAATAAAACTATGGTGGTGTGCGACTTTTGAATCACCCTGTATGTGTGATTTATTAATGAGGTAGAAGAATGAGTGAGAGTGAAGCATGAAAACAAAACCAAAACCTAAGTACATGAACAATGATGTCTTCTTTTTATTTTTAAGCAAATATTAAACCAGTCTAAGAGTTGTATTTAAACTTCTGGATTAAAAAATTTTCAAAATCAACATACACGATCCAGTATTACATGTAGCTCGTCTTCTACAGATTCATACAAAACAAGTTTATGGGACTTCCATTTTAAGAATATTAATTAAGTTTTAGGAGTATTTTTCAAAGGAACTTACATCATTCTTATAACAAATTTGAATGTAGTGATTTTAATAAATTTGTTTGTTGAATTTAGTACAAAGCTACTCACAGGCTATTTACACTACCCGTCACTACTTTTGAAGTGATATACAAAAGGGCAAGCTGTTAGATCAACGCCACCTACCACCAACTACTTGGTTATTTTAATTTAATAGTATGGAATTTAACTGCCACTTTCATAATGCAACACGGTGCCAAAACATGGAATGCAATTTTTTGTTTTTGATTTTTATGGGGACAAAACCATAGAATGTCAGATCTACAATCTAAGACACAAACTAGCAAGGTATGAACTCTGTAGGCAGTCACTTATTAAAATGGGCCCAGCACAACCTGCTAGTTTGTGTCTTAGGCTGTAGATCTGAGATTAAGTGTATGAACTCTGTAGGCAGTCACTTATTAAAATGGGCCCAGCACAACCTGCTAGTTTGTGTCTTAGATTGTATGAACTCTGTAGGCAGTCACTTATTAAAATGGGCCCAGCACAAACTTTAGTAAACACAAAATTAATGGCTTTTCACAGATAAAAATAGATCTTTCTGTTCACTAAAGAAATGTTACCAGCATTTGTTATAGTTACCATGGATTAAAACATATCTGGTTGGCTCTACCGACCAAAGGTTTCAATGTTCTGCATAAGGTTTAGGTATTTTGATCGCTTTTGTTTTTCTGAATGAAAGCTTCTATAAAAGGAAATGACATTTTTGGAAAAACAATATGTTATAATTACGTTAAAAATGCAGTTTCTCTACAACTAGAAATTTCAGATGATTTGTTGGCAATAAATGTCCCCCAATCAAAGTTGTTGACCCTGCATATAGGTCAGCAAGTAACGGTGGTTTTGGTCTTTCATGTAGCTACTAACTCTTGATTTCTCCATTGTAAGAAATATGTTGATATGTATTACCGAAACAAATAGTCTTGACAGAATGATAGAGTTCACATGATACCTAACTTTTGGGAAGAAATTCAAGTTATGTACAAACCCGTGTGAATATCTTTATCATAACAGGGGGTGTGGAACTTTCCATATTGTCTTTTAACAAGAATCTTTTCGAGATATTGAAAACGGAATTACTGACTCAAAATGGTTTTTCCTCTGGAATCTGTTAACAAAGTCTTTTCTCCACTAAATATAAAATCTGAAGTGGAGCCACAAGTAGAGTAACGATAAATTTACTATTTCTTTCACAATTCTTTTTATCCCAAAATTGTTATAATGAGTTCACTCACTGTAGTTAACATATCTAATGATGCAGGTTAAACAGGTAACAATACGTACTATACTCAATTTATTCAATGATAAGCTAGTTTTTAGTGGAAAAAATGGAAATGGCAAGAAAATATAAAACTGAAATTTAAGGAAGAGTGTGCATTTCAAATTAACGTACAAAGACAAAACATTTCGTTTTATAAATCGTCTTTTAGACCAGAATTTTAACAAACCATATTTCTAAAAGGTGAATTGTAAGATGGTTTAAATTTTTATAGACCTTAAGTAGATGCAACTATCATAATTCCTTTGATTTTCAAGACCCCGAGTTAGACCTATCAAAATACAAGGGTTTTGAAGGTGTGTAGGAACCCTGTTCTTATAAGACACAGATCTGGAAATATTCCAAGGTAAGACATTGAAAAGTATTGAAATATTTTCTGTATTAGGAGAACAGCCTCAACAAAATAACCTTTCGGAAACTCCATCTGTCCACTTTCAGAAGCATAACCACACAGTATTCTAATTAATATATGTTTTTTGTACACCATGGTATTTTTTGTTGTATGAATTCTCTATTCATTTGTAATGAGCTCACCAGCTCATCATTAAACATGAATGGATCACATTGGTAGTTGAGGCTAGTGGAGCGTATTAATTCCTTGAAATATTTTGTCTTTTTGCAGAATTTGTAGTGCATACTGGAAGGATTTAGACATATGGGTTATATTAAAAAAAATCTTTATTCTTCAGATGCTAATAAATAAACTTTTTACTTCAGCCAACGTTTCACCTTTGAAACTTCATCAGAGTTTGTAGTACAAGAAGTCACTTTGAGGAAGTTACAAACAAGAACATTGGCCAAAATAAATTTTTATTATCGTTATATGGAGACTAAAGGCCTTTTTTTTGCCATTTTTCTCTTTTGAGAGTAACTAGCTTTTCAAATTATTTACTCTGCGAACAGAAGTACTTCTTTGTGAATACTGAGGACTGAACAACGACCTTCCAGGTTTTACTTTAAAAAAAAAAGCAATATAGATGTTGAAATCTTTTCATTAACTCTAGTTATTTTCATTGTCATCAGTTTTAAATTTACAAAAGATATTAGATAATTCTGATCATTTATCAGTTTGTTAAAAAAAATACAATGTGATCGAAAAATAAATATTTCCAGTTGTTCTTTACAGAGTGCATCACTGACGACATGGTTACAGTTTTCAGACGTTAGCATTATTACCGAAGCCGATCGCAATTAGTCGACAATATTCTCACAGTTAAGGCTTTAGAACTTGGTGCCAGATAAATCATCTCTGTAAGACCAACAGTCGCTTCAGCCGATGTATATTCGTGGAGACGGTAGCGACTGTCCGAACTGTTATCCCTCCTTTTATATTTTAATTAATCACATTTTCACTTGTCAACAACCGTAACATTCCAGTTTGTATTAAGGTGATGTACAATCACTTATAAATAAACGTTTTTGTCATTGAAACTTAATACACAGTTGAAGCAGTCTCATCATTTTGGAAATGAAAGGAGATGTTTTTTTTCCAAATTTATTAAAAATAATAAAAAAATTACCCAATTGTTCTTCACAACAAATATATTCAGCATACTTTTCTTCTTATTATGGGTAAAGATGGTAAAAAACAAAGTAATTTACGATCTATGAACGTACATACACACACACACACACAGAGTAAACACCGCCAGTAGCAGTACCATTCTATTGCTTTATATTTAGCACTTACTCTCAGGATCAACCAAACCTTTTTAATAGCTTTGAATCAAACACTTTGAATGGAAGTTCTTATATGGAAGGCATACTGAAAATCCCAGACACAAGCTGTGCCCACGTAATAAAGTAGTTGTTTGGTCAGAGGTCGTTTAAAGTTGCAGTCTCCTCCAATCCATCGTGAACTAGTATCAGATAACTCCAATGGAGCCAAGAATAATTAAAGTTAAAACTCCAATCGCCACTAGTACCAGGATTATGATAATGATTTTTTTCTAGGGAAATAAAAAATAAAAGTAAACAAGCAAATAAATTCAAAATAAAATTAACCTAGCTAATTGAAATTAATTTGAATAATTAAGAAATTAGATTATACACTAATATATGCATCCAATTAATATTATTGTCATTTTAAAAATATTTCTATATGAGATATAAGAACAGAAATTAATTACCAAAACAAAACATGGACATTCGTTGCAGTAGTCATATAAATCAGTTAACATTTACCAAGCAGCAAAAAAATCCTACTTATTAAAAACAAAACAAAAATTGATAACATAAAATTTGAACAAAATCAAATACTAATGATAAAACAAAAAAAAAGACTTGAAGCCTAGTATATATTAATTATGAACTTATCCAATGTCTGTATATAAAAAGAACTTCAATAAATGAAACGCTGTAATGCTTCATGACTCATCAAACACACGAAATTTAGGGAACTGTTTTTATGAGTAGGTATTTGTAGTTACTGCTATATTTAAACCATCCCTGATCTTGAACTACTGACCAGAGGGAAGCCAGCCAATCAGCAACACCCTACCACGCACACAAAGAGATTTGTTATCACTCTTATAATACACCCACAGCTGAAAGTGTGTGTGTGTGTGCATGTGTGAAAGAGGGGTATTTTTCATGGATTTGAACCCAGCTGGCCAGCTCCAAGATTCGGAGCTTTACCACAGGGCCAATCTGTGCCCATTAAGAGGGAGACAAAAAATGGAATATACTCCAACAAGAAACAGTTTTACAACATAAGGCACTGAGCATGTTCACACATAGAGAAAAGTATTAATGTCAAGTTTTATAAAACGAATTTTGTATTGAGAAACTATACACATTCAGCATATGATATCAGTGCACACAAAAGACCTTGTCCTTACCCTTCTTGCTTTGCTCTGGTACACTAGTGCCTTCTTTGTGTCCTGTTTAGCAGCTTCTATGTAGTCCTTTGCATGTTCCACTTGATATTCAATTCTATCAATCATTTCTCCCTGGAAAAAGAGGAATAAATCAATAAATAAAATGTTAAAATCAATGCAAGAATAATTTTATTGAAATATGCATAACCGATACTTGAAACATCGATACTTGGTGAAACTCCGTAATAACAGAATTGAGGAAAAAAATAAATACAAACGTACACTTCAGAAATATTTCATTTATTAATAACCATGCTTTAACCAGTGAAGACAACATGATGCCCTTACTGACAAAACCATTGTCGTTAATGAATGAAGTACTTGTGAAACATACCATTGTCTTTGGGTTTTTTTCCCTCAATTCTGGAAATATGCACAAGTTTATTTTTTAAAACTCATGCCCACAAAGTTAGGTGACATTTCAGTGAAAACTGTAAAAAAAGAGTTGAATAAACAATACAGATCATTTCAGCATTTGAGAGAAATAAAAAAAGGGGCACAAAACACAATTAGCCTGATGATAAGACGAAGTACTGTCATAATATTATATGAAGTACGGACTATATCGAGGCAGATATATTTATAATAATGTATTGTTGTCGCCATCAAAACTCCTTAAAAATGTGAAAGCTAGCAAATAGTGCATGGAGCTCTTCAAATCTAAACGCTCATCAAAAACGATCTACAAATACAAAAAAATAACCCACAAAGCCAACTACAGTAAGTTTTGTCAGAAGAAAGTCCTAGCTGCCGTTGACAAATATATGCAATTATGTTTTCTATGAAACACGATAATTTCTAAATGATTATAACTAAAACTTTAGCATCATTTTCTCATCATCGTAATACAATAATTTCCAAAACGATTACTCCAAACGCACACAATAAAAAAAAATTATATACATAATTATTGATGTAAGAACAATGACATTAAGAATGCTTCAGTTAAGAAAAGTTCCTTCATACCATGATAAAAAGTTGTGATTATAAATACAAAAAAAAAATTGCATTGGAAAGCAATGTAGATCCCACTGCAAAAGGCACCACCATAAGGCTGTCACATTCAAAACACACCACTACTCCATACATGCTTTCCACAATCCATCTTGCGTATAAGGATAGCAGTTCTGTTTCAATAGTCTGATTGCACAGAAATCCATAAGCACTGCATCAGACAACTTTACTGGTATGTCTTCATATGGAATAGCATAAATACAGTTGCTTGATGCATGCAACAACTGAAGTGAGGTATGACTGGAAGCCTTATCTTGATGAACCCATACACCATTGGCCTCATTTCCAATTGGAGATCCTTTGCAGTTATGTTGCATACTATTGCCAAGGTGTACTTGGAAAGCTTTTGTTACAACTGGGGTATGACTTGTTAGAAGTCTCTTTCTGAATTGTCCTGATTCCCCAAGTTGATCCATATTCCTTTGTTATCAAATGCTGTTTAGTACAAGGGAAATACCCATCTTAGAAAATCTCAATATTCGATCTCAACACATCTTTATGATCTGAATGTATGAATATTTTGCATTAAAAAGGGTTGTTACATACTCTTCCCAAAATGATCAGTTATTGGGTGCAACACACAAGCTACGAAATGTTAAACAATGTCAAAATATAGTACTAATACATGCCATTCCACGTAGACTTTATATCGACTGTAAGTGTTACATAACTTGCTGATTTGAATATTCAAAATTGCTTTAATATAATGTAGTCTACCCTTTGTATTCTTCTAATTATGGCTTGACATGGTGGTAGACTGTTTAAATGTTCCTTGAACTTTTCATGGATGATTTGGTATTTATTTTGAATCTCTAAAATACCAAAAATTGTAAGCATTAACTGATGATCACAAATAAACTTGATAAAATGTTGTAATCTGTGTTTAATTGCAAAACGTGCCATAATAAGCTCATTTTCTAAGTTTTGAATTTTTTTATTTAACTGCTAGATGTAATGTAAGTACTAACAGTTAACATTTCTGTAAAACATATTAGCAATAATAGTGACAAGTACAATTGAATCGTATTATTATTTTATAAATTGTTTCTTGTCAAAACCTTTAAAACATATTGCATTTTTCTTCCAATTCACTTTGCCTTTTTTTTTATATGCATCAAAATCTGTCCAATAATAGTAGTTATAGACTACCGTCAACTACCATCAAGTCAACATTTTTCAGGAACTATTATTATTATTAGTAGTATTATTATTTTATAAATTGTTTCTTGTCAAAACCTATAAAATATATAGCATTTTTCTTCCAATTCACTTTACCTTTTTTTTTATATGCATCAAAATCTGTCCAATAATAGTAGTTATTGACTGCCGTCAACTACCATCAAGTCAACATTTTTCAGGAACGTAAGAATAAAGCTAGCCTAGTGAAAAATGTTAAAGTAATATGGGAAAGAAGTTAGGCTTCATAGATGAGTCAGTGTCAGGTGAGGGAAGATATCAATAAGTGTTAAAATTAAGTTACTTATCTCACTTTTTACATTTCCACAAGACCTGTATGAACATTCCTTAACATGTGTAACTTAAAGTTTTCAACGTATACCATCTCCTAGATTTAACACTTACTGATATCTTCCCTCACCTCAGCAACAGGAAGCAAACCATGTACCCTCAGATTCACAGACCAGGAGTGCGAACCACTAGGCCATGTCTTGTCTGTTAACAAAAATCTTTATTATATATTTTAAATCAGCTTACTTAATAACCACTAGGAGCACAAACATCACTGAAATGAATACTAGAAACCATCAGATAAAACATTTTCACCTGGCTCTCAACCAGCATCGCCATGTCCATGAACATATCGTGAAGCTCTCGAATGCTGCTCTCTAACTTGATTATATCATTGTGACGAGCCTCAATATCTGCCAGTGTTTGTTTGGCTTGTTGTGTTTCCATGATAATCTTCAGAGAGAGAGAAAAAAAAAAAAAATAATATATATATATACACAAAAATGAGTAATAAAACACCTAACATTTGTGATAAAACAGATCACTGAGAATGATGTTTATGATCGTTGTCAGATTCTTCGATTTATATACTGATAACTTTTTTAGAGAAAAAATAAATCATTTAATTAGAGAGAGGTTATTCCTCGCTTGAAGATCTTCTGATGGGGCTTCATTTCATTTTTGTCACAGAAGTAGAGAGCTAAGAAGGCTTAACAATGTAATACAACCTAATAGTATTCAGAAGCTAAACATTATAATTTTTTCTTTTTTGTAAATAAAGTTTGTGGGAAAAATTAATACTGAAGAAGGAGCTTTTTATTATCTGTTTGTTTTTAGTCAAGCACAAAGCTACACAATGGGATATATATCTGTACTATTCACATCACAGGTACTAAAACCCAGTTTTTAGCTTTATAAGTCTGCACACTTACTGCTGAGCCCGTGGGGAGCAGCCATGTTGGAAGAATAGTGTTGTTTGTTTGTTTTGAATTTCACGCAAAGCTACACGAGGGCTATCTGCGCTAGCCGTCCCTAATTCAGCAGTGTAAAAACTAGAGGGAAGACAGATAGTTATCACCACCCCCCGCCAACTCTTGGACTACTCTTTTACCAATAAATAGTGGGATTGACCATCACATTATAATGCCCCCATGGCGGAAAGGGCAAGCATGTTTGGTATGATGAGGATTCGAACCAACGGCCCACTAATTTCAAGTCGAGCTCCCTAAGCACCTGGCCATGCCGGGCCGGAGCAATAGTGAGTCTGGATGGAATAATTATTGATATTATAAAAATGAGTGAACTGAAGAAGTTCAAAAACTTGGTGCACATTTTTAAAATTATAGATACATAGTTATTTCAAACTTGTTTTTATCAAAAACCAAGCAGGCAGCATTTTTCACAGCTTAAAATTTTCGAAAGGCAAAATAAATTGATGATAATTTATGTTATAAAGACTTCCACTTAATCTGTTTGGTATTTATATTTAAATAATTATTTAAATAAATAATAATTAATATTAATAAATAAATAATAATTAATATTAACAAATAAATAATAATTAATATTAATAAATAAATAATAATTATTTAAATAATTAAATATATAAATAATTGAGAATGGAAGGATATAAAACTACAAATTCACTTTGACACTGCAACAAGTCAAAGTGCATGATTATCTTATCCCCACCTCATCAATTTACACTCCAAAACCTCTGGAGCAGGATTAACAAAAGGAAAACCATTCAATGTATAGTAAAAGATTGTGTGTTTATAATAAAAGTACAGGCAATTTTTTGTAAAAATAACAAACAGTTTGGATAATGCATGTGCATTAATTTTATTTATATTTTAGTCTATCTTTATAAAAATTTTAGTTTGTATGCTAATTGTATCAAGCATACAATATTTTTGTCAGATTACTATTTTAAGGCTTAAAATTTGTTTTGTTTGCTGAATTTCGCACAAGGCTACCTTAGGGCTATCTGCACAAGCCATTTTGAAGTAACAGACTATATTTGTTTGTTTGAAGTTAAGCACAAAGCTACATAATAGGCTATCTGTGTTCTGCCCACCATGGGTATCGAAAGCCGGTTTCTAGCATTGTAAGTCCGCAGACACACTGCTCTGCCACTGGGGGGAGGGGGAACAATGGACTAGAGGGAAGGCAGCTAGTTAACACCAACCACCAACTCTTAAGGACATTCTTGTCAGACCAAATAGATAGATTTAACAGTCACCCATATAATATACCCGTATCCTAAAAGCCCAGAATGTAGTCTTTGTTGCTTTTTAGGCACAAATCACAGACCAGCTTTGCTTCTCGAGATTTACAAATTATAGAATTCAATTTATTTCTAAGTTACATTTTGTTAAACAGTAAGCATAGAACTGGAGAAATTGATAGATGGCATTACCACTAAGTTACGCACTCAAACATCACACATTAAAATAATTGTCTGAGAGTATTACTATATAATATGAAGTTTTAAATGGGGAAATTGATAGATGTTATTTCTGTTAGTAAGTAAAACACATACACAAAAAAATACTTATTACATTTTGTGACTGGAAGAATTACCATAAATAAGAAGTTTATTTCTTCCCCTGAACTTTGAAACATATAAACAAATAAAAATGCATCTCTACAAAATTTTAAAACAAAGAAACAATTACCCCTTGTGTAAAAATGGCAGGATTGCCACTCTCCAACATGTCTTCCAGCTCATCATTTGTTGTCACTTTACCCGCTAAAAATTAAAAAAAAAATTGTGTAGAAAAACAATAAGTATCTCTAAAACTATGTAAGTAAAGTATGCGACAATAGACAAATCTTTAATTCTCGCTAAAAATAAAAAATGTTTTGTAGCAAAACAATAAGTATCTTTAAAAATAAATAAGTAAAGTATGTGATAACAGAAAAATCTTTAATTCCTGCTAAAAATAGTAAAAAAATTTGTAGCAAAACAATAAGTTTAAAAAAAAATAAGTAAATAACTAAAGTATGCGACAATAGACAAATCTTTAATTCTCGCTAAAAATAAAAAATAGTTTTGTAGCAAAACAATAAGTTTAAAAAAAAATAAGTAAATAACTAAAGTATGCGACAATAGACAAATCTTTAATTCTCGCTAAAAATAGTAAAAACTTTGTAGCAAAATAATAAGTTTTAAAAAATAAGTAAATAACTAAAGTATGCGACAATAGACAAATCTTTAATTCTCGCTAAAAATAGTAAAAACTTTGTAGCAAAATAATAAGTTTTAAAAAATAAGTAAATAAAGTATGCAACAATAGACAAATCTTTAATTCTACAGTATTAAGAAATGTTTTAAAAATGGGTATGTTCATATAAGTGTAAACAGTAATATGTTAAAGAATATTTCAACAACATGTCCAATATAAAGAAGTATATTGATATTCCTGTCACATTTAATATTGGGTGTCAGCAAGCACAAGAAAATAGGTATATGCAACTTTTTTATAAACATTTTTGCTAACGAATAATGAATTTCTTGATATATCTTAAACCATCTCCGCGAGATTCTGTTAGGTTTAATATAACACTAGTCCAACAGCAGTATCAACAATAAACACAAACAATCCACATAGTTTAGGTGACAACAATTAGAAAACAATTAAATAAAAAAAAACTTGTACAATACCAAGATTTACACGAGTTTTATTTATTTATTTTTAAGATCCAAAAAGAATTTGAATGTCACTATCCATTTTCTCACACTTTTATTATCTTTTTTTATTGTAACTAATATACACAACTGATGCTTACTGATCTCTAACTGTCGTTGAATTCGAGCTTTACATCTTTCTCTGTAGTCAGTCTGAGTTTTGTTGTAATCTGTCATCACTTCTACAAATTTCTGTGACAACATTGAATGCTGAAAAGAATGCTGAAGTGAATACTAGAAACCATCAAATAAAGATGTTGAACAAGTTAATTAAAATAAGTTTGTTAATATAATTTACAGAAACCCTGTGATGGGCTCCGCACGATGTTTAGTGTTTCTACAGGTCTGTGTATTTGTAAGCAAAACACAACTTAATTACAAACAGATTGCACTAAATCAACATTTACAATAAAAAGATGATGCACATTAACATTTACTGGCATTAAGTTTGTCAAAATTTAAAAAAATATTATTTCTTTTTCTCGCCAGTTGTCAAAGTAAAAGGCTTTTACTTATACTTCTTATTAGTATAAATATATACTGTATTGTTATTGGGCTTAGGATTCTTCTACAGTAGGTGTCTGTGACTTACTGATGATAAATTCAACAATAAATGAACAATCAGCATGCACTCCACTTGTTTTAAAAATAATATATATATTCAGAATAAGTTAAACGTATGTACAAAAAAATTCTTCACACTGTAGAGATTATAGGCATATCATAGACACTATATATATATATATATATATATAGTTCAAAACTCCACTTTGGCCTATTCAATTACTTTAGAATTTCACTTGACAAGCCAAACTATCTTCTCTATTACGATCGCACTGGCATTCTATGTGTGATTCACTTACAATTTTGGTGCAAGTTACCTATAATCGTTTGGTCTTCTTTCTTCTAAATATCCTCTGTTCCTTTTGTCAAAGTGCACTCAGGCTGATTCAATTACTTTAGAACCACGCTTTGACGGAATAATTATTTTTCTTATCTCCTTTTCTACTGTTAGTCTTACTCCAAAATATTAAACATTAGGCCTATGTCAATTGTTAGGCCTATCACTTCTACGGTAGTTACCTTGACCCCAAACTTTTCCTTGGTCCGTAACTTTACTCTTTTTTTGATATTTTCTGTCTGCTGCTTCCACTCATCTCACACTATTTATATCTTTATCACTTAATCATCTGCCCACCTTCTATATTCTCGACGTCAATGAAATTGCATGCAATGTTCGATAGTTTTAACACTAATGACTTATAAACACAACTTCCTACAATCATCTGCTTTTAACTCTTATTACAACAAAAACTAAACACTAATAAAATATTTACTCACAAAAATAAATTAATCAATAATATCTAAACTAAACAGTCTTTTATATCATGACAAAGTTAATAAACAATGTGTAAATGATGGCAATGGTTAAACAATTTTATATTTCAAGTAACTAAGAACTTTCAGAGTCATATCTGAAACAATTTATTAGATCTGTAATTCTTAAGTTGTTAAGCCTAATTCAGCAGCTGAATTTTTCTAAAACACAACATTACACAGCAACTTTTTTTTATACATTTTTCTTGAACACAAATTCTGCACTTTTAGTTGTTGTTTTCTTATAAACATACTTGTACAAAGCCTTCAAGAATTTTTTTTTTCTTTTTGTTAAGGTTAGTTTATTTTCCTGCCTCAAGTTATTATTGTTTTATAACAATTATAAATTTCTATCTTTTATAGAGCTTATTTCATAGTAACTTACAAAAGGATGTTGTTTTATTACGTTACTGCTCTAGTTCTGACAAGGAACAAATTTTGTGTAGTGTCAAAAAACATTTGAAAGTATAATAGCTACTTAAAAATAATTATGTACTAGTAATTTGTTTATTATATGCATGGTGTTCAGAGATGTCTTTTACTTACTACAGTGATCCTATATTTATATAGGATTTCAACAATGTAGCACTGTTGCTTTTAATGAATCCTGGGCTTATTCTTTTGACGTGCCCTCGTCCAGGGTTACTGATGAAGGGGAGGAATTCCTTGAAACCAGTATAAGTCAATGAGAAGAGCAAATTGAATGATAGACTGGGGTTTTACATTTATTTTTTGATAAGTTGTTCATTTCTTGACTTCTATGCCAGTCAACACTACTAACTACCAATTCATCAAATTAAACAGCACGATTTGACCCATGCTTAAAATGTATCCACAACCACAAAGTGTAGAACACAGTATATTTATTTTTGGTGGCATCGGGGCATAAACTATGGAACCTCAGCTCCACAGTTCAGTATGCTAACCACTAGGATACTCTTGGCCAGTGTACTAGTAACTAAGCCTCGTTTTTTTCCAATAGCATATCATTAAACATTTTAACACCTTTTTCTTCAGATGTATTTGAAATAGATGATCTGATTAAACCCAAAAAAACGTCTTTTATAGATTACTCAAGATCAGACAGACATGCTAAGTTTTTATCCCCAGGACTTTTTAGTTAAGTAACGAGGAAGAAGGCTTATAAGATATATAAAAGTTTCGTTTAGTATTCCATTCCAAATCATTCACTGGAATACAGAAAACATCATATCATACAAAGTTTAAAACTTATTGTGCTCTGTGTATAAATTCACATTTTTTTAAACCTTGTAATTTATAAAAATCATATGCATGAGGAAATAGTTTAATTAAAATACCAACTCATTTCACAATGATTTACCTGCGTCTTTCTAATGCGGAAGTCAGCTGACATCATCCTGGTTTGTTCTAACTGTTCTAGATTCTGCTCCATAACTAAAGGATGAATACAAAGTTATGAGAACATTATGAAAGGCTAAGAAACTGATAACAAGTAGCACATTGTAGTAAAAATATTAAATGAACGTGGGCTGTCTAATTATACATTCGAAGGGAAAATGTTGTTTCTACAAAAACCTTATTTACCTTTTAACTTGGTTCTCACTTTGTTTGCCGACTTTTTAATATCAGCCATTAGGTCTTCCAGCTCCTGCTTCACCTCTGTAGATACATAAAAACAAAAGTCTTTACATCAAAATTTTATTCTAATTGAATTAAAAATGTCAAATTGGTTTACCACTAAGGAAAAAAATTAAACAAATTAATATTTAGCTAATCAATTAGTTACTTTATGGAGTACAACTTAATACTTAGAATAAAACTTTTTATGAAATATCAAAATTCATTAGCTTAAAAAAAAAATCTAGATTTTAATTTCCTTTCATATTATGATTTTTTTTCGAAAAAGTTAGATTTGATAATTGTTTTTGATAATAGGTAATTGTTTAAACATTTTATAACTTGGTATAAAAGTTTATTTCCTGCAGTTGTATGTTTAAACAGGCTTTATAAACAATTTCACTGATTAGTTGAAATATTTTTAAGGTTTTTACATTCCTTTTCCCAAAAATTTCGAATTCAAGACATACGAGACAGTTTAAAATAATTCCTTCCCTCTCAACACCTTTATTATTGATTATTAAGTTACCATAGCCATCTGAGTAATATAACTTAAATATACTGTTCAACAAAGTTTTCACTCTTTGCCTATCTCAGGCATGATAAGTTTATCACAGTCTGAGATACAGTGTTGTTGTTTGTTCAACTTTGGTTTTAAGTTACGAATCAAGAATGTGTCCTTTTTCCTTAACGTCCATTCGTCTGTTGCCGAGTCTATTATTTTGAAACGTTCGATGTTAGGTTTCTCGCTGCCAGTCTTTGCTTAGATGGGTGATACTTGTTGGAAGGGCTATGTTCCTTAACTCTGGTTGCTAGGATTTGGGTTACTGACCCAAGGTAGCCATGCCTAGAACATGGACACGTGTATTGATACGCTATCAGTGATTTTTTGAAGGAGGTATTTTGACCTTAAAAAAAGGAAAAAAGTTGCATATATATTTGTTCAGTTTGAAAACTACTCTTAGGGTGACTCGGGGATAAGCTGATTGCAGAATGTTCTTGTGTTTTCTTTCTAGCTTGATGCCGTGAGAACCAGTGAAGGGTAATACTAAGGTGATAGGACATTTGGAAACATTGAAGTCAGGAATCTTGGGGTTGTAAAC